TATATATATATATATATATATATATAGTTTAGAGAGCAGCAATCGCAGGTGTCTGTTGTTCTTTCAGGGGTCTGTAAGAGTGTGTGGAAAGGTGCAGAGAATACACTTTTGTTTATCTGCGAAGGCGAACAGATGCAACCTAACCAGCCGGACCTACACGGTGGATGTCATCTTCTGTCATGGTCTTCCTCTGCCTTTGGCTGTGGCTTCCCGTGGAGGTCTGCCCCACTCGACAGCTGCAAAAGAAAAGCAGTATTTTTCTCATCTAGTTTTTGGCATACGCATTCCTCTACTCTTTGACTAGCAAATATCTGTTTAAATCAGCATGGGATAGACGAAGTCAGAGAGCACGATAGACGCCATAGATGTGAGACTGCTGTTGCCCGTACACCGCAAACCGGCAGGTGAATCACGCTTCAAAACGCCTTCACACGTTTGCTATTATGAGTGCAGAAGAGAAAAGCAAGCATATGAAGCGCCTACTCAATTGATATTGTGGTGCTCTCAGGTTCCTTCTTTCCTCTTTGGTGCTTAAGTTCCACAGTTCTTGACCCGCCTGGGTGGCTCAAATGTGCTTCTTTCGGAGGCATCTTTGGGCCTTTCTTGCTGGGCATGCACAGGCGCCACCATGAAAATCTGTCATAATTACCTGCCGTCTCATGCTGGCCACCTTGGGGGGACGTAAATGCGTCTGGCTCCTGCATCGTGCAGCCGCTAAAACTCGAGGGCGAATTCGGGAAAGGGCAACTCGCAGCATAAACAGAGATGTCTCCAGAGATGTTCCTTGTCGATGACACGAAAATTTAAATACTCAGTAAATAATCGAAGGTTTTGCAGCTACAGACTGGTACTCGCCCCAAAAGGTCGAGTTGAACGGAATGTGATCCACACCGTTGTATGAAAAGTCCAGGAAAGTTTTATCAACTTCTGCCCCATCAAGGCAACAAAAACAAAATTTGAACTAAACTATCAGGGAAAATAACCAAAAAGCGGCAGTAGAGCAACAGAGCGACAGAAATTGCAAGTCGGAATCCTATGCGCGTGCTCGGGTGCTCGCGAAGCCGTCAGCAACCGAAAAAACGTCTTGCTGGAAAATCTTCTTGGGATATTTGTTGGACATTTTAAACTATGAAAAACATACACGCGTCGGAAGGAGTAGGAAGGCCAAAAGACAAAACGGCGCTTAGCAGGATCAGCGGAGGTCCAGCGCAAAGACCGTCAATTGAGGCAGTCAACCACTTCATGGACGCATTTTAAACCAAACTTAAGCATTTGAAAACTCAAAATTGCACTCTAAAACGGGAAGAAAACGAAGTATGTAGAGGCTCTATTAAGGGCCCTTCCCTTTCGTTACTGCCCACCCAGCACCAGCTCGTAGCATGCAGCTGCAGGCTTGTCTCGGCCGTCTCCCGATGGCTGTGGCTTAACACAAAGCACCCCTAATATGGTTAATTTTACCGTATATTCACATTTTCTTGCTCAAAATAGTCTCGCAGACACCGCACACCTGTGGAACCCTCACAGGCTCACCGATCGCGGCGGAGAGGCGAACCGCCTCTTTCCATTGGAAAACTTCACGGAATTCAAGTACATTTTCCGCTTTCTGTTTTATATTTGGGTTTAATTAATTATTCACTTCCTTGCAGGAGCTTCCGTACCAGACACAGTGGTTTACACTGGCTACCTCTGCACGGCCCACACTCCCCCAGAGAGATTGTCGGTGGTGTCTAGATGAAACCACCAACCGTACTGTTTGCAATAGAAATAAGTTTTCATTTAAAGAGTACGAGCCAAACACTTTGTGAAGAAGAGCAAGGAAATACTACCAAACACGCCAGAAGTGCGACTGAGCCCTGCGGACAGCGTGTCCAATGGTGAGCAATGCCCATTAGTTCGGTCCCTGCACCTGGGGCTAACAAATCGAAGGCCCAAACAACAATTCCAAAACTCTTGAGATTTTGACTGATCTGCAACTCCTTAAATTCCGCAGGAGGGCTGCAGACGACGTTGAAAGTACGTGAGAACAAAAGGACCTCCAGGGCGACCCTCTAGAACGAATGGGGGGGTTAAGCGCAAATAAATATTTGCCCAAACATCTCGCAGAAGACGAAGCAGTTCAACGGCACCTACAATATATGAGTCTCCTAGACTCTGAATTTCCACGGGTACTGCTCGGACCAATTGAAAACTTCCCCTTTGAGCCAAGGAGACCTCAACCTTAAACAACTAAGTTATCTTTCTACGCTTTTCTGTGATCCATTGCCCACGCACGTACCAGAGAACTTTCTCTTAAACCTGGCGCATGCAAGAAGTGCTATAGGGAAGGCTCACAGAGATGTAAAAAGCAGAGAACAGGAAAATTGCTCTCGGTCTAAAATGATGGCTCTGCAACAGGTGCTGTATTGTAGGACCAGCTGCTACTGTTGAGCAACAGCTACCGCCGTCGTCAATCGAGCCCAGCATAACTACATGTGCTCCGATTATCGAACCACACTTTACCGAGAGCAACCACTGGTGCTGCTGCTTCAACTGGATTCCCTCGTAGTTCGAAGCTCTAATTTTGGAGGCTGCGACTCTGCTGCTGCTGTTGCTGCTGTCTGGCGAAGTCATCTGCTTGTCCTTGCGCCGCGATAAGCAGATGCCGGACAGTCGCCTGTGTCGAATTCGGAATATTCCGCATGTCCAGGAGCTGTGGCAGCCGCGCAGCCAGTTGTATATGGTGTGGCACCTGTTGCTGCGGCTGCGCAGGTACATCCTGCTGTTGCAGCATCTGCTGCTCCAGCGGGATCTGCTGCTGCTGCACCTGCGGCTGCTGCTGTTCACCAGGCCACGAAGAGGGATTCGCGGCCCCGTTGCTCTCCGGCGTCCCAGTCAGTAGGGGGTTCAGAAACCACGGAGCTCCAGCATGCTGAACAGCTGCTGGCTGCTGTTGTTGCTGCTGCTGCAACAGCCGGTGTCGCTGCAAAGCAGCGTACCTGTTCTGCTGCAGCAGATGCAGCTGGCCCTGCTGGTGCTGCGGTTGCAACTTATGTTGCTGCTGCTGCTGTCGAACCAGGGCCTCTCTCTGCCGCAGCAGGATTTCCTGTTGGCATCTCTGCTGCAGCGCAAGTAGCCCCTCTTCACTGATGAAAGGTTGCTGTTGCTGTTGCTCCTGCTGCAAGTGTGAGGAGCCGTCCGCCGTTGGTGCGTGCGACTCCGTGGCCCCCCCATCTGCCTGGGCACAGTTTGCTGCAGCAGCAGCAGCTGCTGCAAAAGCCGCTGCAGCGGCAGCAGCCTTCCTCAGCGACGCAGCCTCCTCTGTAACAGGAGCAGCGGCTGCTGCTGCTGCCGGAGCAGCAGCGGACTCTGCTGCAGCTGCAGGCGATAACGCTGCATGGACTCGCCTTGCGTGGGGTTGGCTCCCTTCGACTGACCAATCTATTTCTTCTAAAAGAGCAGCTGCCTCGGTTACGAATCCCAAGGGCATGTCTGGTTGCGCCACATCGCTGTTGCTGTTGGCGTTGCGGTTGCTGCTGTTGGTGGTTGCAGAAGCTCCGGCAGAGTGGGCAGCCGCTCCCACACTGGAGTCACTGACACTCCGGTCTTCGCTACTACTGTTGCTGCTCTTGCTGCCATGAGAAACCGTGCTGTTGCCGCCGCCGTTGGCGGTGGTGCTGCTGGTGCCTGCATGCTGTGCCGCCGTCCCATCACTGCCAGTAAGAGCGGCTGTTGCATTCTCAGAGCCGTTCTCCGCCCCTCCCTCCTGGAGCAGGGACCTAGGAGACGACGGCTGCTGTGGTGGTGGCTGTTGTTTAGAGGCCGGCTGCCACTGTTCTTGCTGCTGGGATGGCTGCTGCTGCTGTTTCCCTTCTTCATCATCCGAATCGGAGTCCAGAGCAATCGGAGCATTAACCTCACCTCCACCGCCGTCAGGCTGCTGCTGCAGCAGCTGCTGTTGTGACTGTGTTGGCTGCTCCAACTGCTGCTGAAAAGGGGTTCGCTGCTGATGCGGGGACTGTGAATGCAGCGAATGCACCTGCTGGTGAGACTGCGTCGACTGGTGCTGTTGTTGCTGATAATACTGTGTTGGATGTAGTTGATCGTTTGACTTATGGCCGTCACTGTCGCCCGTGTGACCATCATTCTGCTGCTGCTGCGGTTCATCATCAGAGGAGTCTGACAGACAAAGTATTTCCCTCTGCTGACCGTTGCCACTTCCCGGAGACTCCAATCGTCGCTGCCGCTTGATAAGAGGCTCCTCTTCTGAACATCCACAGTACAAACCCCAAGTTCTGCAGATCAGTCAGAACAGGGACAAGGAACTGAAGCATATTGCACCCAGACTAAGCATGATACGTGCCAAAACACTCCAAAAGAGAAGTACGCCCGGCAGCACTCGCCGATCTCACCTTCCTCCTGTGATACTCCGGTCCCGCTGTTGTTGCTGCTGCTGCCGGCAGAAGCAATGGGCCTCTGCCGAGCCTCTGCTGCAGACGTTTCAGCAGGCGCACCAGTGGAGTCTTGGCATGCTGCAGCATCCTCCCCTGGGGCTGGTGCTGCTGTGGTCGCCGTTCCTGCTGCTGCTGGTGGCGTGTCTTCGGCTTCGCTGTCGCTGACTGCAGCAGACGAACGACACGGCAGGCACCGAAGGCAGAACAGTGTTTGTGTTTCTCTGGGGCTTTGTTGATTTCCGAATCAAATACAAAGGCACACAAGGGAGTACCCGCCGGCACATGCCAGGGGCTGGCGTTTAACGTTTAGGTTATAGGGAGGGACCGACGCATGTCAACGACTTCAAATGCCACTTTCCCAGTTGTCTCCGCCTCCTGCATCCCAACGAAGCAAACGATTAGCATGAAAGACATGAAGGACCTGAGCCCTCCACCCTCAAACCTAAACCCAAATCCCTAAACCTCAGTACTTAAGCCCTCAACGTTAAAGCCTGACCTCTCCCTGGGGCTTCAGGAGCGTCTCCGCCGCGAGCTGTCTCTGCTGTTCTGCTCTCTTCGACTCCGCCTTTAGTTCTTCATCCGACACGACCCTAAATGACAAATCCTGAGGCAGCGCGCAGCACCCAGAGTCCACTTGTCTTCTCCCTCAAAGTTTTCTCTGCCTCCACCTCATACTTGAAAGAAATTCCCCTGCAAACCCTTGAACACTTAATGTTTAAATAAAACCAGAGCCGGGTAAGAAGACACGAGGGCAGGCAAAGATAAACCCTTACGAAGAACGAGGACAAGGCCAAGCAGGTGGAGCAACAATACAACTGAGCCTACTGCTTCTAAACCCAACAATAAACCCTGAATCCTACATTCTCGACCATAAACCACAGGACTCCAAACTGGGCTCCTTACACTCGAACCTCCAAACCCTAAACCCTAGATCCTAGACCTTACAGGCCATAACCTAGGTCCTTTGCCCTGAGCCCGTAACCCAGGGTTTTGGTGTTTAGTAAGTGGGAAGGCCAACTGACCGCCTGAAGCTCCACTTCGATGTCCTCTTCTTTGGTCTGCGCCAGGAGATGCTGAAAAAAACAGTCAACCTGTAGGTCGGAGGGGAGTACCGTTAAGTGACATTGTGGGCATCTCCAGCGGCTGTTGAAGGCCTTGGTACTTCGAGAGACCAACAAATATCCGCTCAGATCATAGCATTGAAGATGCATGCAAAGGCGGCCTCGGCATGGAATCTCAATCCTTCAAAATAGTAAACCCCCACACAAACCGCGTAAGAAAGAACTCTAAACCCTACGTAAAGAGCGGCACACTCTGAAGCTTGAGCCGTTTCCAAGGAAACAGCTAAGCCTCTCAGCCCCAGCCGATAGTTTAAGGTTTATTCTCTGGGGCAGAAGACAATGACAAGGACTAGAGACTTTTGCAGAAGGGCAAAAATGCAGCCATACAAGAGTCGGCGGCTTAGAATTTTCCAACCCGGCGGTCTGGAATTTATTGCATACCTAGTGAAGGTTACAGGGCAGATCAGTTTTAGCCGCCTCCCCACTTCAAGACACTGCACTTCTTCGTCGCTGTCTGCGTCATCCTGCTGCTGTTGCTCGTGCTGCTGCTCGTGCTTCTGCTGCTGTCCCTGAAGCAAACGCTGCACGCGCTCTTTCGCGGCTGTTAGTGGAAGGGTGTGTTCTTGGACAACGGAGACCTGAAAATTGGAGGCATAAAGCACGAAAAAGCCTCAGACGAGGACAATACGATGGCAAACACCCACTCCCTTTGCAACAACTGAGCGTCCAGGGTAAGGGTATATATCGTGGCACGTTTTTTCAGTGGAAGCGACCTACAAGAGGCCGCAGTCTTAGGGCCTCAAGCTCCAGCAGGTTTACGGTTTAGGATTCGGGACAGTCTAGCCATAAAATCAGTGTTGACGGTTCTGCCTTAGGGGTCTGGGGTACCTCCAGGGCCTCCGGGGTTTTGGTCTCCACCAGGAGAAGAGCGATGAAAAACAATTTAGGATCCGGCGTGAAGTTTGTTGTATTTATCTCCACCTGGTTAAGTCCACTCCTCAAATACTGTGTAATCTGCAGCAAACCCCCGGAGAAACCCCTAACTACGGCCTAAGCCTCAATCCTACACCCGAACTGCACACAGACGAGAATATCCTCCCAGAAGGCGCTCGTGTGCGGGTTTTAGGGTTTGGAAGCCGCACCACAATTGGCGTGTCTCTCCTTTTGTGTTCCCACGACGGAGCAGCAACGCTTTCTTCTAGCTGCAGCAATTAGTACAGCAGAAACAGCAAGGCAAAGATACGCACGAGCACGAGCAGTAGCATATAAGAACCAGCTACCTCAACGCGGGTGAGCGTTTCCTGCATGGGCTGCAGATAACTTTTTGGCGCCCACAGTAAACATCTACGGTTTATGGTGTAGGATCCGGTGTGCACGTACACGACCGTTGACGAGGACCTCGACGGTACGCGGCCAAGTTTGAATGTGTTTGGGAGTTTGAGCCTGGCAGCAGCGAATAACGATTTCTTTTCCTTGAGCCCTCCAGCTTTTTATATCTGTGGCGTCTAGCGATATAACCAACGAGTCCTCGAGCGGACACATCGTGAAGACTTGCGCCTGCCCGTACAGCCCAAAACACACACAACAGAAACATCTTATTCCCTCCCTACAAACAGCCACACAAACAGACACAATCAACAAACCCCGAATGCTCCCGAGATCCACATACAACTGAACTCACGAGCGGGTAAAAGGGGTCCATCAACTTCAAATGACACGCCCCACAGACAAAGTCTGCCGGACTTTTGTCCTCCGAGAGGCCGTAGCAGACGCGATGCTGCAGCACAGCACACAGCACAGCATCAGCAGCAAACGTGCATGCATTGCTTGCTGCGTCCCACTGTTCACTCAAAGGCAGCTTTACTGCTCCACGCCTGCTCCCCAAACAAACACCACCGGGCAGGCACGCGCTTGCAAAAGCGGCCTTTATGGACACGTGCCCACCCTATGCATGCGGCACTCCCTCAACATGTGATTAGTAGCAACTAGAAGGAATTAACCAAGCAGCACAGTACACCTCCAGAAAAACACTCACACAACGGGAGCCACAGACAGGGCAGCCTATCAGCGGCTGCTGTTGCTGCAGCAGCAGCTGCTGCTGCTGAGGAGACAGCCTGTCTCCACAAATGCACTCCCTCCCTGTAGCCCAGGCGCCGCCTGAAACCAACACGCGCAACACCCAGGCGTCACATGTATCCTTCTGCCCCGGCTGCTACCCTCACTGTTGATACAACTGCTGGTACATCTTACGTGTGTGTGAAGAAGCCAAGGCATTGCGAGGCCTCTGGGGCCCTGCGTAGTGCCGGGTTGGTGCTTGGTTAGCTGCTTGGCCAGGTGCTTGGCCAGGTGCTTGGCCAGCAGCTTGTCCGGCTGCTTGGCTAGGTGAAAGGACCCCGGCATGTCGTTGTTGCTGCAGCAGATGCTGCTGCTGCTGCAGATGCTGATGCTGCAGATGCTGCTGTTGCTGCAGCAACAGCTGCTGCTGCTGCTGGTATTGGAGAAAGTGATGCTTCGCCCTTTGGTGATAATTAGCAACGGAAGGCTCTTCTATGGGTCCACTTGGCTGTATGTAGATCTGACGTGGGCTCACATGCTGCTGCTGCTGCTGCGGTGGCGGCGCAGGGTGTCGTTGCCTTTGGATTGGCCTCCTGTGGAGTACTTCGGGAGGAAGAGGCCCTCGGGTTCTGAAGAAGAGTCATAACTGGAATTGGAGTTCAGGTTTGATGCGAATTTACAGACTATTTGCAGGCGGGTCTGCTACACACTTCCTCCCAACTGAAACCTTGAACCGTAATTGCTAAGGATTCGCGAACAAGTAACCTCTGCCTGCTTGCAAATAGATGTGTACAGTTTAGGGCTTAGGGCTCGCCTACTTTTCAAAAGCCATGAGGCGTCCCACGAGGTCCTTCTTTAGTCCCTTCACCGGAAGACCCAAAGCCCGACAAGCGGCACTCAATTCAGCCACAGTGTGGCAGTGCAGCCTGCACGCAATCCTCAACACGAAATCCTCAATTCAATGTTAAGTCATTCACCCATGACATCACAGCCGCGCCAGACAGCCTACAATCTGCATTTATGTACTCTGCTGTGAAGGCTAATACGGCAATCAAAAGAGTGGGGGTTCCAAAAAAAGTGAAAGTCTACGAATTAAAGTTTAGAGTTGGGGACTGTGCCGGTCCTCTCACTCTTCGAGAGTTCTCATGGCTGAGCTGCACAACTTGTTGTCCGTTGTTCCACTTCCATCTCGCCAAGAAAGCCCTTAAAGATAATCCCTAATCACTAAGCCGTAAACCCCTTAATCTAGCCTGGGTTCTTGTCGGGCTTTTCAGGAAGCGTCCACGTACTCCCGGCTGCTAGAGTTTCTAGTTTTCGCGTTACTCCTAAGGGAGAGGGATATGTCGAAACTCACAGCCAGCAATAATCATGCATATAGGAAGCGAAGAGCCGCTTAGCATTCACGGTTCGGCGTTCATCGGGTCGTTTGGCGTTCCCCGATACACTAGTTACTCCCATCGGACGCGTCCAAGAGGATGCGGTTAGGACACCAGTTACATTTGATTTGAAGAGTATATATACCCGTCAGGCGTTGCCGGTGTTGGCACTTTATTGGTTTACTGCGTATGGGGGGAAGGAACGAGAGAAAGCAACGAAAACCACACACGGAGACGCGGTTAGTTCGGGTCTGCAACTGGCAGAGGTGAGGTGTGCGCACACCTCATCTATAGTTAAACACAATCATTCCCAAAAGGAGTACTTTTTGCCTTTTGTGCAAATTGTAGGGGGCCCCTCAATAGAGGGGGCCCCCGTAAGACCTGAACCGTGGTGTTGCATGCGCCACTCCAAGCCCCAAGGGGGGCCCTGATGTTGACCGCTATGGGATTTTAACAACGGCATATTGAAAAAAAGCGAACTACATATAAAGTGAACGTTGTGATTTTCCATCTGCGCGATCATCCAGGTGTTAACAGCCGCCAATCGCTATTTCGTCGCATTTCTCCCCAACGATCCCCCGACAAGGGAAGGCAAGCATACTTTTAGGTCGAAAAGTTTAATCACCAAGAAGACGCCAACAGTCCCCTACATTTCTATTTCTAATATTTAATTGTTGGCGTCCGTACCGTTGTTGGATAACCCCCCGATCTTGCTACGTGCGCACTGACGGGAAACCTGGTTTTTTTGCGAGGACTACTGTGAACTGCAGTTGGGCAAAAATACTGTACAAGAATTGCTTAAAATCAAATAAATTCCTTCCTAAGACTACAGTAGTCATGGGGGTAGCAGCTCAAGTGCAGGAACTGCGGGAGTGGAGGCGGCCATTACTGAGTTTTAATGCACCTTGCGGCAACTCAAGATGCAAGATACCTCTACGTAAAAGCGCAAGAAGGCAGTATTACACGAATGTGCAGGTGCTTTTGATAGTTTTTGAGAACTTTTGCCTGCGTACCGTCTGTCTATTAGGGCCGGGTAGGGCTCCATGCGCCCACCACAGACACGAGACACGATGATGTCTCCACCTAGAAGGTAAGCTAATGATACAGGACGCCTTGACCCAGAACTGAACAGCAAGAGGTTTTACCCTCCTTACGGGAAACTGCTTCTGCTGCTCGCCGTCCTGCGAGCTTCGGACGGAGTGCGAGTCCAAGCGCCTATGTTGAAAGTGAGTGCAGGAAGTCGTTTGTCGAAGTTTCTATCCGGGCGTTCATGAGCTTTTTTCACTCCAGCGTTGCTACTAACTTCATGAGGAAGTTGGAGGCTGCGACTGTCGGCGGCCGCTTTTCGACAGCCATACCTAATGTACGGCGGTTCATCGGAGCCTCGCTGTAAGCCATGTTTGGAGGGGAGCAACAGCTGGAGTGTGCTGTTGTATTCAAAGTCCATTCCCCACAAGAATAAGAAATAAAGCTACTTCAGCGGGCCTTGGAATAGAGCCCCCAGTTGCTGAATGAGCATGTGGTTGATGCTCGCTATGTAACCGTCTGCCTGGAAATTGTTTGCTTCCAGGCTCTAGACGAAGCGGGGTTGAGATCGTTCCGTAGTTTCTGCGACTGACATTTCGTTCAGGTGAGAACGTATTCCTCCCCTGAGGGGCCAACAGTAGGCCGCCAAAATGACTTTGGCACTCGCTCCACTGTGGTCGTGGCACATTCACAGCCTGCTAAAGCCTGCATATGCATTTTGGCTACAACCTGTGGCTGAAGTGGAGCTGAGACGTACAGTCGGAAAAGTTGACGTTTTGTCTAGTACGACAAAAGATCGCCATCCATGCTGTGCTTCAGCAGCCGCCGATTGTAGAACTTAGCTTATCTCCTCTGAAAATTGTTTGAACCTGTTCGTCAGATACGCCATCGGCTACAGTTACCACTAACACACCAGTGCATTTGCAAAACAGTGCGTGACTTGTAGTGCATCGCGAGAGGGCGTCAGCTACCATGTCTGTGATGCCCTTGATACACTTAAGCGTCAAGCCAAACTGTGAGAGCCGGCAAAGCCACCACACAACTCTTTCACTATCGTTCTCCTGATAGCACCTTCGTCAGGTGTGTCAGGGCGTGGCAGCAGGTTTGACTAGTTTAAGGCCTGCTAGACAAGTAATGGTGATACTTTTTATTATCGACCACCTCACGTTAAAGCTCTTCCGTACTCATCGGATATTTGTGCTCTCTTCCGTGAAGCGATGTTAGTAGAAGGCGACGATTTAGTAGTTGTTCGAATTGTTAGCTTGCTGACAAATCACCGTCACAACTGCTGTGTCACTGGCGCCAGTCGTTGAGGTGAAAAGCGCGAGTACTGGAGATGGTGACAGGTGACGCCAGGTGAATGACGAGTCTTCTTGGCGAAAGCTGCTGTGCTGTTGCACACTAGAGGCGCGCTTGTAACTAAGGAGTGAAGCGCTAGTGTTGGTATATATATATATATATATATATATA